TTGAAGACTGAGGTTAAAATGACACAATTCCCTCCTCTTCCAATAGATAGAAAAGAGAAACAAGGGAAATGCGGTACTATTTTCTTAGTAATTTAACTAATAGTCTTGTTGTCTTAAATTTAGACACTGATAATTTCTAGAGTAATGTTATTAAGTTTTCCGTACTGTGAGCTGCCCTGCAAAAAGTTCTCCAGATTCTGAAGGCCAGGCGGTGGTGAAGGGCTGAAGGTGAGCCAGCCGACCAAGAGGCTCCCCCAAGGGAGCTCTCAGACTATCCACTGCTGCTTTTCAGGGAACAAGCATGCACCCAACATACCCAGCTGCCCAGCTTCCACAGTGCAGGGCAAACATCACACTGGCTTCTGTTGCTCTTGAGAGCTCAGATGGCAAAAGTCTTGATTGTAAACGGCAAAATCCTCTCTCGTGGTATCAGTAGCACAGGGGAGCTTACGGTGTCACTTTCTCTCTTCATAATCTGTAAATATTCTGAGGTCTAAAAGTAAAAAGAAGAATAGGTTTTAGGTACTAAAACAAGATATTAACAGTAACAGACAATTTTTTTGCAAGGTTGAACCTGTCTCTTTATGAAGTAAGAAATCATTGGGTTAAGTTTCTCAGTGGTCTCATGGTTTGTGATTCTGATTAATAAAATATACTTTCTTGCAACTGTGTCTTCTTCAACTAAATACGTTTTTGAATTTTGAAAAAGACAGGGCATTTCAAATTTTGCTTTTCTTTTGCAGTACTACCATTACATCTTTTTTTTTTTTGGTCATGGCTCATGTATCTATACATAGCAAAAATTGGATCTATAATTCCCATGAAATTTTCTATAGATCAGATCCAGCACCTTTTGAAAATGTACTCTATAAGGACTTGTTTAAAATATGGTGTTTGTTCTTGAAAGCTAACTTTAGCGTTGCCCTGGTCTTTATGACTTTGACTTAGAAATTAGCATTGTAGAGTTCAGAGAACATGCTTTCCTCAAAAATATTTTCTTAAGATGCTGTGATGGCTTCGGCAACTGCTGTTTTGGACCATTTCATTTAAAATTAATCAGTTGTGGAGTTTTCAGCAAGTACATTTCACAAAAAACATGCTTGAGTTTTATTTGTTTGTGTATGAAAGTAGACATACTTTTGCCTGTTTCTTTAAAGGAGTTGAAAGTCTGTTTTATTTTTGAACTTGAGTAAGATCTTGTGAATTTTACTGCCTTTATCTGGGTAGGTGCTGACATTTAAGGAATCTCACTGTTGGCTTTCAGGCTCTATGTCTAAAAAACCTCCATTTTCAAAGGTTTTCTGCTTGTGCTAGCTTTAATTTATTATTACAAGTTATCACTTTGCCTTGTCCAGTGCTATTTGATTTAAAAATTGGTATGAAAATTGAAACTTCTTCTGGGATTTCAAAATTCAGTTGGCAATTTGACTTCTGCACCCTACAGGTTTAATAGCCAGCTTGCCTTTTAGCTTCTTACTGGAAGTGAGGCAGGGAAACCTGGAGAACTTACCTTGAGAATCTGCATTGAAAATGTTATTACTGGGGCTTTGTTGTCACACATTAAACAGTATAAAAAACTGAATATCTGACACAGCCAACATTTTCTAGTTTGGATTGCTGAAGTTTTCCTTTCCAGAAAAGTCCAATACCGAGGTAGTGGCTCCATGAAATTTATATCATCTGATGAGATAGTCTTTTTGTTGGATTCCTGGCAATAAGACAGATTAAGGTTTGAAAGTTAAAGATTTTTCATCCTATAAGTGTTAGTTCTTTTTTACCAATAATGAAGTTTATAGTCTTGAATCCTGCTTTATGGTGAACTTGCCACCGGCTGCCGCAAGAGAGGAGCTCCGAAGAAAAGATACAAGGACTCCCTGAAGCAACAACTCAGCCTCGGGCATATTGACCACCATAACTGGTCCACTCTGGCCTCCAATCGGGAGGCCTGGAGACACACCATTTATAACGCTGCTGATGCTTTTGAGAAAGCACGCAGGATCACCCTTGAGGAGAAAAGACAATGCAGAAAGAATCGTGCCTTGCAGAATATACCATCTAATGAGTCTTTCTGCTGTGTCTTTTGCAACCGGACTTGCCTCTCTCGTATTGGCCTTTTTAGCCACCAACGCGCTTGCAAGAAAAGTGGGTAGAGCCCTTCCCAAATCTTCGTTCGCGAAGCCTAGCCATGACATAGATGTGAAGTGTCATATGAAAAATGTCATATGACATATGAAAAAAGTCATATGAAAAATGACATGAATTTACTGATCACCAGGTTTTTCAAAGCTAGGACTCATGGGAAATATTGTTTTCCTGTTTTCGCCTGTATTGATGCCTTGCTTTTCTTCCCCTAAGATAAGAAAATAGAATAATAGTTTTGCTTTTAGAAACACATTTGCATAAGTAATAAATCTTAGAAAAGGGCACAGGAATGATTGAATGAAACCATCTTGTTGATTAGACATTAAAAGTAGTAGCTAAAAGAACACCCAGCAAGCGTTACAAGGTAATACCTTTATTATTCTTTTAGGACTAGTTTTGGCCCCAAGATCTCCCAAAGAAATATGAACTGATAAATTTTTCCCTTGTGATGTGACCAATTACTTTCAACTTTGTTTTACTTGAAGAGCCTTCACACTAAAAGGAGAGTGTTCATGTTGATGCTTATTCGTCTGGGCTTTTGTCATTAAAGTCATGCATCTGAAATCATCAGCATTTGAATAAAATAGCTGGCTTAAGGTGCTGTTCAGGCTTTCAAGTGCCAGGGGAATGGCTTCAGTGTAAAATGTGAATAGAGCAGCAATGAACTTTCAGAATCAGGTGGTGCAGTTGTTATGAAACCCCACTTCCCACTATTAGTTATAACAGCCAAAAGACAGTACAACATATGGAGGTGAAATTTCTGATGTGTAGACAATGTACGCAAATGTGATGCCAGGAGCTGAGGACTGAGAAATATGGCATGTCACTGTAGGAGAGTTTTCAAAAGAAGCAAAAAGGAAAGAAGTATTTGAAGGTGAGATAAATAGAATAGAAAATTTCTTCCTATATGGTACCTCAGAGATTTGAAGGAAGACAAAGTTAAGAATCAGTATTCAGAAGTGTCATGATGTTTTTCTAATTTTTTTCTCCGATCTTTGAAGATTTAGGAAAATATTTAGGGCTTGCTAACTTCTCTAGTCGGCTGACATAAAAATATAGCTTTACTTGGAACTGCATCATTAAGTCTAGGAAGTTTTGTCTTACACTAAACTAAAATTCTTCCTTCAGCATCAGCCTTGTAAAGTTCATATGTATAAATAAGGAACTGAAATTGTATTTATAAAAATACATAAAAATAGAGTATTTTGAGGTAGGAATATCTGTCTGAAACATTTTGTACTCCTCCAACAGCATGCAAAGGTAAATTGTCTCATTTAAGGAATAAAGCCATGTAATTGCCATGAGAAATGGTGCCACTGGGGTTTAATAACTATCAAAATTTAGACATGTAACATAGTAATGAAAATGTCTGCTCTGGAGATGGTTGTAAAATCTACACAGATTTTCACTACTATGTAATCAATTTAGTAATGCATACACAGATAGTTATGATATTATCAACAAGGCTTTTTAAAATATATGATAAAGCTCTTCACTATGTTTAATAAAAAAAAGCTACAAAACTATATTCTTTAAAATTAAGAAAGCAAGGAGAAGTAAATTTCCTTTCTTCTCTGAATGCCTTTTTAAAGTATCATTTTCATTGCCTTAGGAAAACCAAAGGAAATGCACTATGCAAAGTACAGGAAGAAATTTGAATCTAAAGAGAGACGGGGAAATGTGCTCCGTATTCTAATGTTATGTATTATTGTACATTCAAGAGATTTTATTGTTCTGATTTAGTGTATATCTGTGGAAGTTTTGTAGATTTTTATGATTGTTTTAAATTTAAGGTTTATAAAAGAATTTCATTATTATGTTTGCTGGGAAATGGCTGAGCATCATAAATATTGATTCTATAAGGAAATATTACATGACATGTCTCTCTATTACACTGCTTGTCTGAACTGGAGCCGTCATGAAACACAAAAAACATGCATGTAACATCCCATCAGTGTTTCACTATGTTTTCCCTTTAAGACAATTTTGTTATTTAAAGTTGTTAAATCATGAATGTAGGAGTTTTTTTTCATCTGCAGCACTGTTTCATAATTTATTTTGTAATTTGTGTTTTCAATGGATGAAGTTCAACTGTAGCTTTCAATCTGAAAAACAAGGCTTGTGACATAAAGCGCGAAGTGTAATAGAAGTGCGTGCCCAAGAGGAGCAGATGGGTTGGGAATTAGGAGGTGAGCTTTGAAGGGTACTCAGTGCAAAAAGCGGCAAGGAATTTGGTATGAAAAGTGTTAAGAAGTGAGCAACAGCATTGGACCTTAAAACAAGACAGGAAATTAGATAGAAATGGATAGGCAGTAAATGAAGGGATATGGAAGAAGAGAGACAGGATTAGTGAGGAAAGAGCTTAAGCACAAAGGGAAAAATTAATTCTGCCAAGAGCTTAGCCATGAGGTGGAGTTTGGTACATTAGTAGTACATGTATGGGTAACTGAATATGCTTTTATTGATAACTCATTTTTAAGGGGTGAAAAACTTAATATTAGCTTTATAAAGTGTTTGTTTTGCTGTGTAAATTTTGCAGCAGTGTAATTTTTAAAATGCAGACCATAATCATATATGTAATTTTTAAAATGCAGACTATTATCATACACTTAGTGCACTTCTATTACTTTTTCTAAATCTTAACCTAAACAAAGAATGAGTGCTATGTTTCTCTGCTAAAGCAAAGCTAAAAAATAGAAGCTAAAATAAAATAAAACTGTCACGGGATTTTTTTCTAGACAATCTGAACAAAAAGTATAGATCTCTTCTATGGAAGAACAATATGAATTGCCTCAGGGATCTGAAGAATAGGAAGAGAAAACTTACTAATATAAAAATACCTGTTGTTTTGTTTCTAGGTTCAGACATTGTTCAATGGTTAACGAAGAACTTATCTATAGAAGACCCAGGTAATTTGTTTTGTTTTCATGTCTGTAAATTCTAATTTGTTTTTTTAAATTATTGGTCCTGACTTCGTTTTCTGTTGCAGCGGGGGTGGCCAGGCAGCCTTTGACCAGTATAATTTCAGTAGCAAAACAGACATCATCAAACCTAAGAAACCTTTTCTAAGAATCTGAGGGTTTTGAATATCCATTGGATTGGAGGAGATGCCAGGAAGAAATATGGTGGACAAGAATGAAAACAATAGTTGCTTTGCTTAGCAGAAAATGCATTCAAGTCTATGAGTAATTTACTCAGTGTCATGCTAAATAGTTCATTAAACACGTGCTGTTTTCTTACAGAATTTTTCAAGATATAAAAAATAAATGGAGCTAATAAAATACATTCTTGTATTGTTACCGAATGCTAATCTCAAATTTGGACACTTTTATGGCATCTTAAATGGAAAGTGAAATGGAAATAAAAGTGGTGAGGAAGAACAGTTCATTGCTTGATCAGCTGGGTTGGATGTAAAAGCTTTGGTTTCAAACTCTGCCACAGATTTCCTGTGTGGCCAGCAGGAAACACAGTTTGGTGTATATCTGATATTTATTCCCCTGATCTACAAGAATCTTGTTACCTGATCAAAAATTTTCCATAAAGGAATTATTTCTAGTAAAGAAGGCTGAATGGTAGAATTAAAGTATTCTGTGGAAATTCCCATTATCTTTAGGTTAGAGGAAAGATAATCTTCCTTCTTTAAGAAGATAAAAAAATACTTTTTTTCTGGCTCTGTTTCAGAGTTTTGGAAATGGAATTTCTGTTTTAGTTTGGTTTTTGTTTGTTGTTTTTTATTTGATTTGATTTTAAAAATGTATTTTTCTGTCATATTAGATATCAAAGTATGATCATTGTAGAATTCCAGCAAAAGGCAAATTCCTCATTCCTCAAGTCACAATCAGTACATAATGTGATATTTGCAAGTTCACAAACTTTTGATTTGTTACGTGACAAAGATCACCAAATATTTCTAATTTTATGTAACTTTAAACAGTGTCATGTTTGCTTCCTGAAGATAAAATGAAGGTTGCCAGAGACCTAAGTGTGCTACTGTATTTCTCAGTTGCCAGCTACAAAACACTCACCTATCTGTATCTGAGTTTGAAAGATTGCTGTTCTGTGTTTATTTGATACGGAAGCTTTAACATTTACTTGTCAAAACAGAACTACAGTATTGGGATAGGCTGTCATTCAGATTACCTGGCTGTTGCAAAATGGGAAAGAGAAAAAACCTTATACTAAACAAAACCTGGTCCCCTGGTTCCTTATGTTCATATCCAATTAAAATTTAACAAACACACAAACTACTAACATATGTAACCAGAACACCACAATAATTGGGTTTTGTCCTCCAAGATTGCATGGATGGAAAAACACTATCCATAATGACAAAAATATCTTATGTGTATTGGTCCTAGTCCAAAGTCAGCTTTCTGGAGCTAGCCGAATGCAAATCTTCAGAAATTAAACAGCCCTAAGTGCTTTCTTTGGGTAATGCTCAGAATTGCCAGATAGCAGAGAACCTGGTGAACAAGAGCCATTCACATGACAAAACTTCTGAAAATGTTCTGTTTTGTAAAATCTTTAGGCATGTGGCTTTTTGTTCCAGAGAACACAATGTAGAATTTCCTGTGGAAAAGCCCTTAATTTCTGTGATCTGTTGTCACCATAATTTGGGTTTCCAGTATCTTCTGTCTGCTTTTAACCAATGTGTCAGGGTCTTACTTGGCTGTTTTTTAAAACTCCCCTGTAAGGTTCCATTACAAAGCTCTTGTGAAGCTAAGAAGTTCTGGGATGCAGAAATAAATAATGCCTCAGTTTGCACTGAAAGTTATCATCTCCATCTAATTCCGATATCAGCCCTATACCTGTAAGAACAAGACAGAGTAGACCTTGGATCATGTATTTTAGGAGTATATTCTACTCTGTCTGGAAAAATATAAGGATCATTTGCATACCTCATCTACCAGTGCTGTGAACTACTCATGCAAGGAAGGCATGCAAATTGTGATTTAAGGGGTAAGTAGATAGATTCACAGAATCATAGAACAGCCCAAGTTAGAAAAGACCTCAAAAGATCATGTGGTCCAAACTTTAATGGCAAAGTGAGCCTGAATGAGATTATCTAGCACACTGTCCAGTCTCATCTTGAACGCCTCCAGTGATGGGGACTCCACCACATCCCTGTGGAGATTGATCTCACTGTACAAAAATTCTTTCTTATACCAAGATGAAACCACTTTCTGTACCTTATCCTCAGCCTTATCCACTGTCCCTTATCCTCTCAGTGTGGCTCCTTGTGAAGAGAATCTCCATCTTTAAGTACTGGAAAACTTTGGTGAGGTCCCACCTCGAGCCTTCTGTTCTCCAGGATGAAAACACCTGACTCCTTCAGTCAACTTGTTCTTTAATAAAACACAGAACTAGTAAGAAGGAAGTGACATTATTGACACCACTATACATGATTTAAAAAAAAAAAAGTCATATTTTGTAGTGCAGGTTTTTCCTTTGTTTTGCACAGGGAATACAACTCCAATACCATTTAAGTGGGAATGCAGTAGTCTGCTTTATGGATAGTGGGAAAACATAAAGCAGAAGAAGGTCTGACAGCAACATTTGCTTTCACTATAAAGCTTTCATCTGGAGACAGCAATTTCCAGTAAAAAATAGTTACAAGTTGGAACTTGTAAACTGCCAGTCAATAAATCCCTGCAAATTTTTCTTAAATGGAAAATAATTTTCAGTGGAAGATTTGTAAGAGTTTGGCTTTCTGCAGTAAATCTCCATCAAGAAAATAAAGTGGAGATGATAGGTGGATTCTGCTAAAGTATACCAGATTTGAAGTTATTTCCATGGAGCAGAATAGAGCTTGTGCCCAGAATAGCTGGACACAAGGCAATCTACTGTTGCTGTTACATTGTATGCTTTTCAATATGTACTTAAAAATATTTGTGTTCAGCCTACAACTCATCTGTAAAATTTTGAGTAACAGAAATTGTCTAAGTTATTTTTAATGTGGAAGTTTAGTTCAGTCATAAATATAAGCATGATCTCAACCTGAAAAGAAGCAATTAACTGAGTTTAAAGGCTTGTGGTTTGGCATTTAGATACGTGTTTGTTGAACTGACCATTACAGAGTAAGTGCTGACTCTTCACTGATGGTGCCCATTACTCTTAATGTGGAAAATCTACTCTGTTTTTCTACGTTGTGTTTTTATTTTTTGAAGTGGTAATTAATAACATGAAATGTAGCAGACTGACCAGACCAGAGACTGAAGTGCTTTTGATCCTTAGTGAGAAACAAAAAGGGTAAATGAGCTGATTTAAAGGTATCAGTTCAAATTGCCAAGAGACTAATTCTGTACTTGGTTCTTGCACTGATTTCTTTGACGTCCTTTGGGCAAATACTTGATTTCTCTATTCCCTAGAGAAATCCTTTCAGCATGCTAATAGTAAATCATGCTGTTGTCTCCCAAAGGAGGAAGAACAGTACCAGTTTTTCAGTCTTTTCATAATGAAATGTGTGTTATTCACAAACATGCATTTTATCATAAAGTCAGCTCAAGAATAATTTCTATCTAGGTGTCTCAGAAAGCACCTTTAAGAGTAGATAATAGGTTTAGTCATTGTCCTTGTGTTTCTTTACAGTACCTTTACTCCTGAGTGTTGCTTATTTAATTTGCTCATAGCTGCAAAGCCAGTAGGACTTGGCTGGAGGCACTTCATTATTGGATAATTACTCTAGCAGAGCCACAGTGCTACAGCCAGCTCCAGAATGTACAACCTTTGCATTCAGACTGCCTTGCTCCAGATCAATTAGGCAATTTTTTGAAGTAGTTTGCTACTGCTCTTGGACATCAAGAATTACACTGATGTCAAAAATATCTATGACTAAATCTAATTTTAAAAGTTATAAAACGACTGTACCTTGACATAGACACCCTCGTGTTTTTCAACTTCAGTTCTTGCCAATAGTCTTTTCACTTAACTGGTGTAACTAGTTTGTAACTAGATGCCCACCATCAGCCATGTAAACTGTGTTCACTGATGCAGTGCAATAAGAAGGGAGGACTCAGTAGCACATCATCTGTTTATGTTTCTTCAGTTTTCCCTCCTTTGCTTTGTAGTAAAGTCTCTCTCCAGCAGTTCCCATACTAATAATGACCTTGATAACACACGGTACTTGCTTGAAAGAGTTAGAAGAAAAAATTAGGGGTTTTATTTGGGTTTGTGAAAGCATACTTGAAAAATTGTTCTACTTTAAGTTATTTCTGCCCTTTCTGCATACATATGCAGTAAGGTAGCAGCAAAGAGCAGGAGCCAGACAAGATGTTCTAAACAATTGCCATCTGGGACACACCGCCAGACAGCTGCAAGCAAAGGGTAGGTACCTCCAGAGTTTGCTAACAGAGAAAAGAGTCTCTTATGAAAAGAAAGAAAGAAGGGAATGGAAAGGTCATACTTACCTTTGCAGTCTTTGCATTAATCAAAATTTGTGGAAAAGTAGAATGCGTCAGCTTAACTGACCAAAAAACAAAAAAGCCAATAAAAGTAATTTATATTGCCTGCACACATACTATAATCCTCACAATGGGAAGCCAGGGACACCAACACACTCATTTTTCATATGCCTAACAGAAACTCAAGCACACTTTGTTCGATATGCAAACTTCATGAACCTTCGTCAAGTCTAGTGTAAATAGCTTCCTTACTTTCTTCTACTGGGTAAATTTGATCTGAACTTGTCAAGTCCTGTAACATTTAAATGGAATAATGACTTCAATTTCAGATGAACTAAAAGAAATAAAAATGAAATTCTACTTCGTGATGGAAAATGTCAAAATTTACAGACATTACTTTAGTACCAACAGTATTAATGTTGTGATACTCATGCAAAAAATGTATGGGTCAGGTTTCCTTTAATTACGTGTAGCATAGATGGTACTTACCTGTGTGAGGCAATCTGAGG